CCTAGATACGAGAGAGGCAAGCCCCTCGGCCCAGGAGCAGGGGATGGGCTCAAAATGGTCCTACCCCGACGAGGCGGAGCAGGGAGCTAGGGGTTCGTCCCCCAAACATCTTCATCGCCCAACAACACCAGCATAAGTTGCCGACTCCTCTGTTTTTCTCTATTTTTCATAGTGACTCACACCTTTTGTTTCTTCTTCTGTAGCGTCGGGAGACGGGTCAGACGAGGCACTTCTATAGCGCTGGTGCCCAAGAAAACCATCGCTCTTCAGGCAAGGCGGGGGCCACCGCCTGACGTTGCTCTCGTTTCGGGCGAGAGCAGAGCCGACGTCATAGCCTCGTCGGCCGGTCTGGAGTCACCCACGGTGATGCCCGTGTCCTTGGTAGGTCAAGCGGTCGGCGAGGCTGAGGGGGCACCCTCAGAGGTTGTCGCTCAACCGGCGATGGAAGTGGTGCCAATGCTAACGTCGGGGCGGGCGGAGCTGTCGGCCGTACCCATTGCGTCGACCACAGCGGGCGCAGCACAGCCGGACGAGGTCCTGCCAATAGAGGCGGAGGTGATGGTGGCTATGATGAATGGGTCATAGCCAAGAGCTATGGTGGCGACGCCCAAGGCAGCGGCGCGTGCCGTGCCACCGACGGCCCCAGAGGAGACGCCCGCCGTGGGTGGGACGGAGGGTGTCATGGCCAAGGGACCCTCAGACGCCATGGCGGTTGTCGAGGAGACTAGTAGGTAGCTGTCCCTAGTCCTGACATCGGAGGGCCGCCACCCGCCCGTGCGGGATGAGCCCCCACTCCGGTGGGTGAGTCCGTGGGACCCATCGTCGAAACTCTTCACCCTCGACGATGCCGTCGAGGGCATGGAGTGGGAGAAGCTCTATGAGGGGTTCACAGCCATGCTAGAAGCCCTAAACTAGGCCAGTGGCACCCTCGAGATGTCATCGTTCCCATCGGCCAGGTATTCTCTTGGTCTTGCCTCCCGATCTCTTCTTTCTTCATTTATTTTTGTTTTCTGACTACCGTCTTCTTTCGGTCGCTTATTGGTCGCAGCTGGGAAAAATCCTGGTTCCTTCATGTACACAAGGAGGATTGGGACTGCCTCATCGATGAGGCATGGCTGCATAGGGACGTGATCGCCCAGCTCTGCCAGAGGGTGGCCGAGTTGACTCCCCTTGCCGCGAAGGCGGACAATCTTCGACGACGGGAGGCCGAGGCCCGCCGGGATGTGGAGCTTGCCGAGAAGTCTTTTGATGAGCTATCGGAGAGGGTGCGGTGGGATCAGGAGGAGGCCGCCAGAGTGTAGAAGGAGTGGGACGAGCTGCTCTAGCGGGACGCTGAGACCCGCCAGCGGATCATCGACCTCATGGCCGAGGCCGAGAGGGAGTGAGATCTGATGCTGGTAGCCGAGGAGAGGTCCATGGCCCTAGAGCAGAGGGTGAAGCTGGACGTCGAGACGATCGCCCAGCTGCACAAGGAGCGAGATGAGCTATGCCATACTGTGGAGAGGCTCCGCTCAGAGCGTGGCGTGGCCTGCGGAGAGCACGATCAGGCCGTCCGAGAGCGTGACGAGGCGCAATAGAGGATCAGCTCCCTCCAGGCCAAGCTGGAGACCGTGAAAGCCCAGAAGCTGGAGGCCGAGGGTGCCGCTGCCGGACTAGCCACGGATCTCACCGAGGCGAGGAGTCTTCTTCAGGCGGAGAGCGACGAGCTCGATCTTCTGAAGGTTGCCCTCGGCTAGTCTGCGACGACCTATAGGTGGTGCAGGCGGAGGGGACCAGCTCGCTCATGGCCTGTGCCATAGGTATCTCGGCACGGGTGCGCCAGCTAGAGAAGGAAGCTCTTCGCTTAGGGATCACCCAAACCTTCGCCATCGCCCGCTTGCATTCCGAGGGCAACATCGATTTCGAGGCGATGAGCCTCGGTTTCACGCCTGGTTATGAACCCTCCGAGCTGGATGACATAGAAGCAATGGTGACTCCTTTTGTGGAAACCCTGGCAAGCAAAATTGAAGATATGGTTCTCCCCGAGAGGGGGTAGTTAGTCGAATGAGTCTGGTGGACATTTATCTATAATCTGTGGACAAGTGTCGGCACTTTTGTGTTTTTTAAAACAGATTCACAACTTCATTTCGTTTAAACAAATTCATAATTTTGTTTTGTTTGGTTGAACTTGCTTTCTTCCCTTTTTGCATTCGAAGGAAGGTGCTCATGCGATCCAACCCTTTCGTTCATTAAGACCATAGGGCCCGAGGTGTATAAGAGGAAAACTTCGATTATGCTGGTGAGCAAAGTTGCCGTAGCCGTCGGGGCGTGGCTTTTTTGCAGTCTTCCTAGGCATGCTCGGTTATTTGTTCCCCCAAACCTTGTCGCTATCCTTAACGTGAGGAAGAGGTCCGACGCAGCGTTTGTTTCAAAAAAAGGAGGTATTTATACCTTTATCAACCCCTGAGTGAGGTCTGACCCCTTGCGGTTGCAGGGGTCGGATATCACTGGAGACCGAAGAGAGGATAGCAGAACTACTCTTGTATTTGTACGTACCCTTTCCTTAGGATTTTAGCTATCATTCTACGACCGTGTGTTTGGTCTCATTGCAAGTCCGGCCTTCCCTGAGCCCCCGCTTTCGGGCTCTTAGCTGCTCCACCCCCACGCGAGGTGGGGCCACTGTCTCCCCTTCAGTTTTGTCACCGAGGTTGCCCGTCGGGGTAGCCTCCACTGCGGAGATGCTTTCGACGTGTCCCTCGAGGGTACCCGTCATGAAGCATTCTCAGGAGGGGTGATGGCTCCCCCTACTGGAGTCAGAGCCAGAGGATGACCTCGGCTCCTCTATGAGGAGGTTGTGGAGAGATTCCGTGACGTGTTCGATCACCCCCATGAACTCGTTGTTCACGAGCGGTAGGACCATGCGTCGTGCCACAAGGTGGCTAACGATCGTCGCAGCGTTGCAAAGACCGAACGGAAGCGCTGTCGGGGCGCTCCGTATGTGGTGTTCCGGAGAGAGGGGTCCTCCTCAGGAAAACAGCACCATGTCATTGGCGTTGAAAAGGGCGAGGCGGCATCGATCCTCCCTAGACTGCTGGCGTCCACAGGAGACACCGGGCTGGTGCTCAAGACTCTCATTGTTGAGGCCGATGGAGGGGAGAGATTGGATGGCGGCGTGAGCCAATGCCAACTCTCCTCCCACCGTGACGATGAAGTCTAGGCTCCCGAAGCGCACCTGTGCGCCTAGGACCCAGCTGATACCGTGGCTAGCCATCCATGGCCTGATGTTAATGTCAGAACGCGCAAAGGTCCCCTATCTAGCGCACCAACTATTCGGTGTTTCGAGTAAGCACCAACTAATAAATTTATATTTGTTGCGCGTTAGGCCCAGATGGTGTGCTAAAGGACATAAGGTTTATACTGGTTCGGGCAGAATGTCCCTACGTCTAGGTGGCTGCTGCTTGTGTTATTAGCACTAAAAAAGGTTCATAGTAGGGGTACAAACGGTCGAGAGAGGGACAGGTCCCAAGTCTCTGATGGAAAGGTCAAAAGGGCGCTGAGAGCTCGGTTGCTGCTCAGCTGTGCGTTATGTGGTGCGTGGTGTGTAGGATTGATCCGTCCCCTTAGTGGGGTGCCCTGCCCTCCCTTTTATAGACCAAGGGGGAGCAGGGACTATAGATGGGAGAAAGAGGAAAAACCAGAGGTAGAGCAGGTCCTCCGAAGGTGCCGGGTCTTCCTTTTCCCTTGAGCTTGCCCTGCTGACAAGGCTGACGGTGCCAGGGATAGCATGTTCGTTGATCATGATAGGGCCGTGCTCCGGCTTCATTTAGCAAGTGGTCACGTCCCATCCTACTCCGACGGACAGTGCGACGTGCTTGGGTGCCGAGCCGTGACCCTACGGGGAGCAGACGGGGATGTGACCATACGTCCCATACTGTAGATGATGTGAGTTCCCTCCTAGATTGTAATGGTTGTCATATGCTTATGTCAGGATCTACGTCCGAAGGCTGATGGCGGCGCCCACAACACTATAAGACAAAAGTCGGCGCCTACAACACTGTTCGGGCTTTGCCATGCCTGGAAGGGTTTAAACCGCCCGTCTGGTCCTATCCTGACAGTACTTCCCTGCAGGCGTGCATGGTATGGTCCTCGGTATTGCCGTTGACTTGAGTGTCCTGTCTTGCCCTGTGCTCGTCCTTATGAAGGAGCAGGGTGCAAACGTTTGGGCGAGGCGGAGCCTGCCCTGGGACGTCGGGCGAGGCAGAGCCCAACCCTCGAGGGTCGGGCGAGGCGGAGCCAGTCTCCGGTCGTCGAGCGAGGCGGAGCCAGTCCTCGTACGTCGGGCGAGGCGGAGCCTGCCCCCAGACGTCGGGCGAGGTGGAGCCCAACCCTCGAGGGTCGGGCGAGGTGGAGCCAGTCCCTGGTCGTCGGGCGAGGCGGAGCCGGCCCTCGGACGTCGGGCGAGGTGGAGCTTGCCCTTGGACGTCGGGCGAGGCGGAGCCAGCCCTCGGACGTCGGGCGAGGCGGAGCCAGCCCTCGGACGTCGGGCGAGGCGGAGCTAGCCCTCGGACGTCGGGCGAGGTGGAGTCTAGCCCTCGGGGGTCAGGCGAGGCGGAACCAGTCTTCCGTTGTTCGGGCAAGAAGTGTAGTTGCGTTCTCGTCTGATTGGAAGCATCAACGTTTGATGGTTATTAGCTCCTCCTCTTCGGGTACCCCGGTATTCGGTCCCCGACAAGTAGTGTGAGACCTTGAAGGCCTGGGAGTCGCCTTAAGTCAACACTATGCATATAGGAGTTGTAATGCTGTTTGACTGCCCGGATCTTGTGTGGTTGTGCTTCTTATGCTTTTAATGTCTGAGTGTAGGCTATAGAAGCTGTTTTATGCGTGTAAGACTCCAGACCTTGGCCAACCTAGCTAGATAAACCCAAGCCCGCCTGATGACCCCATATCAGCGCTAGGAAGAATGCCAAGATGGAGAACAGGAGGACCCGATCTCAAAAGAACTAGATAATCTATCAGTAGTCTCAGCATGGAGCCATCGCCCCTGGCTTGAATTCTTGGACATCCTTCGCCCCTGGCTTGAATTCTTGGACATCCTTCGCCCTTGGCTCACCCTGGAAGTGAACCTTGGATGCACCTCGAGCTTGATAAGAGTCCTCGACCTGAGATCCCAGAAGCACCAAGACTGACAGAAGCTATAGCACAGTAGACCCGCAACTTGCAGCAGAATACCGATATTGTAGCACGTGGACCATCTGAGGCCTTTCAGCACGAAGCTCAAGGAATTCTACAAGCTAAACCCTCCTATCTTGACCATGCTGACAACCCAATAAAGGCAGAAGATTAGTTGCATGGAATCTAATGAAGGGGCTGTTCGCTGGTCTGAAATTTTCAACCAGCCGGCTGATCCCTACTCTCAAGTTATTGTTTACCAAACCAGTCAAACAGTATTTTTCTCTCACAACAAACCAGCCGGAACAGTGTTTTTCAGCCAAATTTCAGACCAGCGAACGGGGCCGAAGAGGCTAAACTAGAGAAATGCACCGACGAGGAAGGTTTGAACCTTATCATCCCTCAGCTCAGAGGCATTGCTAACTCACGATGGGATTCCTTTTGTGATATCCACCCTGACCTCATCAATATTGGTTGGACAGAGTTTGTGTTGGCAGTCATTAACTCATATAATTTGACTGCCAAACTAATCTAAAATGACAATATTCCATGCCACATCATAAAAAATATTATTTTATCTAATAAGTTCCACGAGTTTTGATGTTCTCACTTATTTTACAGGATTTACTCAAATACGCGTTAAAAGGATATTAAATAGTACACATACAGCAAGATGAAAATCGGGCATAAAAGAAATTTGAATTTTGTTTCATAGAGAAACAGTCTCGAACAAAGATTTGGAGCACACCATTGCGAAGAGCTCGTCAAGCTGATTGAAATGGATATTGCCATGTTCGCTTGGCTGATAAGCCATGACTAAAAGTACTGTTGGCTGATTTATTGTGAGAGAAAAATACTGTTCATTGACTGAAAAAGTACGGCTTATAAGTCAAGCGAATAGAGCGTATATTATTTGCTATATTTGGAGCTCGGAATTGAAATATACTAATTTTGCAAGTCAAGTCAAAGGCAAGGCACCAGCTACGTGGGTCAACTTGCACGTACGAGCAAAGCAACATGCAGCGATCATGGCCTTGTGAACGTAAGCTTCTCAGGTGGCAGGCGGGCTCCAGCCCAGCAACTATTGCCGGCGGTCAGCAGGGGACACAGCAGGTGCTCAAGTCAACTAGCAGGGCTGCAGGAGCGGCATCCTCCGCAACAGCCCAGCTGCCCAGCACAGCAGCCTGGGGCAGCATCGTCCAGGGCCAAGGAGCCCAAGCCGGCCAAGCGCTCACGAGTGGATAAATACGACCAGGCCCTGGTGCTCCACGCAACAAGCAGTAAAGCCCAGTACGGCAAAGCTACAGCAGTCTGTACAAAGGTTTAGTGCCATATTGGTTAGCTAGGATTGGTTTCCACTAGTGACAACCTATAAATAGAGCCCCTCTCCTTCGCTTGTAATCCAAACCGCAAGGACTCTCTTCACTTTATTTCCAAGATGTAAAAGTAGTATAGGCTAGTTTGGAGTTAGGGAGAGATGCTCAAGTTCCAGACTAGTCCTCGGAGGTATGGTATGATATTGTACCGATCCTTTGTAAGACTCGAGTTTTCTACTAAATTTTGACCCTGTTGCATCGGTCAATTTTTGATGTTATAGGTCTAAAATAGATGCAATAGTTCGGTTTCGCATCAATTTCTCGTTTGATGCCAGATGATGCAAGTGGTCTTGATGCAATAGCCTTTCGCATCGATTACTTGTGGTTGATGCGAGAAGCAGCTATTGCATCGTCCATCCGTTGTCTCTTGCATCAAAATTGAGGGATGCAATAGCTTATTGCATCCAAATCATGTTGATGCAATACATCTATTGCAACGGCTATCGTTCGATGCAATAGACTATATTGCATCCATATTAGGTTCGATGCTATATAATCTATTGCATCACCATTTTGATTCGATGCAAGAGGTTCTATTGCATCATCATTTTGGTTCGATGCAATAGGAACTATTGCATCGACGTTATGTTCGATGCAATTCGAACTATTGCATCGACATGAGGTTAGATACAATACAAACTATCACATCGACATGAGCTTGGATGCAATACAAACTATTGCATCGACATGAGATTTGAAGGGCAACCAATTATTGCATCAAATTCATTGCACAGAAATTCATAAAATTACAAAATTCAATGGCACAAAAAGGCAATCATATTAATAACTTGGATCATAAGCATTCAATAGTTTGTACAATGTAAGGAAGTCAAATGCCTTCCTATTTCCAAATAGGTAATTGCAAAGTTGAACTGCATTACAAACCACTAACCTATACTACAAATAGGCAATCATAAATAAAAATACATGTCTCTTAGCACAGATCAACATGACATCTTTCTCGTTGCACAATATTTGATTCATTTCAGCTTGCCAAGACTCCCTCAAGGTTGATCTTCCTGAAAAAGTCAAAATGGCATGCATTAATAATATATATAGTTGATCACACAGTTGGAATCAAACATAGACAACACATGATAGACAACAATATTTTTGAGTTTAACAAATAGAATGGATACTAAAGCCGAACTATGAACACATAAGGCATGAACTCCTGATTGCTCATGTTAAGTGAACAAACATACATGTATAAGTGAACAAAGTTCATGTTAATAATCTGGACAACAACTTAAAATGACACCTGATTGCTCATACCTTTTCTCCTTTCTTTCTGCATTGTAGCTTTTTATTTGCAGCAGTATTCCTTAGTGTTTGTGATGTAATAAATGTCACTGTCTCATTACTATCTTTATCATTTGGGAAAAGTGATCTGTTGGCGCTGCGAGTGAGGCGACTAGGTTGGATACTCTTCTGTTTGCTCAACAATACACTGTCTGGTACTGTCTATAAAAACTAGAAGATTTGAAGGAGCAATCACCACTTAGCAATTCTAAGAATCTGTTCAACTACAGGTGATAATTTTGAAGTATATTACCTGTTGCACATGTTCTGATCCTTGGATGGGAGTCGGAACAACAGTAGGTTCATTATGTGTGGACAGGGCATATTCTGTACCAGCCTTCATATATTTAAAAAAGATTCACACATTATGTCAGATTAAATGTAGGTATCCATTACATCGCAGTGTGCATTTATCAAAAAATAATACCTGTGCTAAATCTGCACCTTCATTTCCACTAACCATATTTTCTGTAGGCTGAGAGGCTGTTGTGGTTGGTGCAGCATTCTTGCATTGGAGTTATAAGGAGAAACATTAGCAATCAAGCTTTACTAAAATCAATGATGTTGGTAACAATTAAGAAGTAGTATTATTACCAAAGGTGGTGCTTGATTGTGTTGTTTGATTAGTGAAAAAAACTCTTGCCTTAGTTCTTCTCTAATCTTGCTACTTGTACTCTTCAGTTGATGTTGCAGCTGCTGAATTTTTTCTTTGTCGCTCTCCCTCTCAGCGGCTTGAACGGTAAGCTTTTCTTTTAACTTCTCTACCTCAGCTTGCATCTCACTATTCTTCTGTTGGGCTGCTGCTGCTAATGCAGATGCACGAGCTTGCTCTTCAATTCGTTCATTCATAAGTTGGCTTCGGGTTGGATACTTTGCCAAGTATCCATGTCCAGGACCTTTCCTGCTCCTGCATCCAGTGGTTTTCTTGTAGGTTTCATGAAGAATGTGCCTTTCTTATTCTTTTGAAATCACAGAAGCTTCCAACTCAATTCTCTCTGTAATTTTGGAGAAGGCGCTTTCCTAAATTTAAGAACACAATTAGTGTTTTCAACTTTAGCAAGTAGCAACAGCAGTTCCAGTTCAAGTATAATAAGAATTAGGTAAAATAGATACTTTGGAAATCAAACTGTATCAGTTAGATTCATGTACTGATTACTTCCTCAAAAAATCCAAGTCCATGTTAATCATGCAAATATGATTCCTACCAAAGCATGTTGAGAGGTAAAAATCAATGGACAGTTGAACTCTAGCATTTCAGAGATATGTATGACATTGGAGATAAATGAATAAAACATGTTATGAGAACATACATCACTGGACACTCGTTTACCGAGTAGCCCAGTTCTATTCATATCACTTTAAAGAACACAATTAACTACATAAAGCATCTAACATAAGCAACTTGCTTTCCAGCAAGTTCCCAGAAATCTGGGCATGCAACAGCTGTACAGAAAATAAATCATATCTGGAGATATACAAGTCCAAATGACTTGCAAGAGGACATTCTGGAAAGCTTATAAAATTCTCGAGATTTCATCTTCATACATCAAAGCATGATTCAGAACTTAAGTACTTTGAAATAGTAGAATTACAGAAACTACTCTGCTGAAACAGAGAGCACCCAAAAACTGGGAGGTAACTTCAAACAGCTGTAACTTTCAAACCACTAGGCCAAATGACCTCAAATTTGAACAACAGCTAGATATGACAATTATGTTATATATAATTGCAACATCACTAAGTACTAATGAACAAAGTAGCACTTACATATATTTCCTTAGCAGCATCAGAAGACCATCGGCCCTCCTTGGTGCGTGTACTCCAAAATGTCAAACCATCTGGCTCTTCACCAGTCTCCAGGTTTCTCTAAGATGTGAAAATTGAACATTGTTACTGTTTAGGTAAAAAATAAAAGAAGAAGATTAGGTTCCATATCATTACCTGCTCATAACTAACTTGTGAAAAGGTTTTGATCCTGTAAGATGTATTGTCTGTCGATGCTGCGAATTGCTAGAGTTTGTGGTGCATATTCGCTAATATAAACACAGATATGTTAGTTGCACTACAACAATACAGACAATAAACACATATATGTCAGAGGCTTGGAACCTAGAATTTGTCACTTCCAAAATACAACACCAAGTAGTGCCACTCCACAATGTCCAAATCATCTGGCTTATGTCTCATTCTTTCATGATAACTGTTGTATGCCTTGTATGTGGCACTCAATTGAGCTCGCCATCCTTTGTAACGATACTTTGCAATCTTCCATATCCTAGCCTTCTCATCATCATTGTTCTCAATGTTCCACCTAACCTGTAGAAAAGGGATACCAACAAATTGTGAACAAATAAGATATTACAAAGAATTAATTTATCATATGCGGGAGCAAGACTATAACATACCATTATATCTCGTGCTATTTTATCTTTAACAATCTGCTTGACATCTCTCCACTTTTTAACTCCAATAAGTGGAGTCCTTTTTCTTGTAAACCGAACTATTTCATCAACAAACCCGCGATAGTTATCTCCTATAGGACCGCCTTTCGTGGATGAGAAATCTATACTAAGTTTCTCAGTGCCAAGTTTAAATCTCTTAGCTTCGACCGATAAACCTTTCAAGGTTCCACGCCCAATCTTTCTCTTGTCGCCAACCCCTACTGTAAAATTGATGTTATAAAATGGAACGTATGTTAACATTATAAATTAGCATTTTTATGTTATAGTAATGTATGAACACTCTGAACCATTGCATACCTTTCTGAGAGGCCTTTGGCCTACGACCATGAGCTGGAAACTGCATTGGTGTTGCGCTATTGTCACCACTTCCGTCTTCTTCAATGGTTTCATCATCTAAATATGCGTCTGCACATACAAAAAAGTGAAAGTACACAGTTACAATGGAGTTGGATATATATATATATATATATATATTAATGCTTCCACTAATGCCAAGATAAAACAAAATCAGATTACATATATCTTGAAGAAGCCCTTCCCTCCTCAACCATTCTTTATATGTTGCAACAATATTCAGCCGGGTGTCATCCTTAAATTCTACGAGATGCATATATAGATGTTATATATATAGTGTCAGTTTTAGATCAGTAACTAAAAATCATTGAGATGTATTTTTCTAGTACATTAGTACCTGGGTTGTTTTCATCCTGTGGCAGCTTATTGAGCCACACCTTGTATGCATCAATGTCTTCATCCTGAATTCCTTTTCCACTAACTTCCTCATGTGTTCTACGTTGCTTAATCGGTGTGATTGCATATTCTCCTTCCTGATCTACCTGAGTTGTTGAAACTGCTATCCTAATTGTCTTCTCTTCTGTACAAACTTCTATCATTGTCAATGCATCTTCGTAATCTATACGCTGCATCAAAGCTCTATCGTTGCCACATCTCTTCATATAGTACATGAAGTCCCTCACAGAATAACCCAACTTAACTTTGTACTTTAATAAGTTGGCAAAGGTAATTCTAGCACGGTCAATGTCCAATATGGCACGTTGCTGGTCCTTGGGTCCCCCCGAGAAATCAATAAATACTTTCCATCTATCTCCTATTTTCTCGTGTGTTTTCCTACAAAATATTTTAACTTCATTCAACAAATTTATGTTATGATTGTAAAATCAATTAATAACTGCAATATGGCAAATTCCTAACAATTTTGGAAACAAACCATATAAAATTATTCACTGTAATATGGTCAATTTATGTATGGTCAGTATCTCAATTTTCAAATTTACCCAATATCTAAATTGTTCTTTCAATAGAAACAGTAGTGTTATAACATCATGTGTGCACTTATCCTATCTCTTCCCAGGAAACACAAGCATACCCCAGTTGTATCACATCCAACCAATTATAATTGAAAGCTTAAAACTACAAAGATTTTTAAACCAATTAATTGACGGAAATTCTCCAACCAGCACATAAACTGCATATCGACAGGTACTTGGGTTGGTCATCTTTTTGCTTCTCGGGTCCATCTTGTCGACGATGAGGTGTGTCTATGACACCTTCAGGGCTGGACCGCGTGGAGAACCTCCTGCTGGACGGAGGAGATGGCGAGCTCATGGAGGGAGGAGACGACAACCTCTTGGACGGAGTAGACGGCGACCACCTGGTACACGGCCTCCGTGGAGGCGGCGGCGGCGGCAACCTACCGGTAGTAGATGACGACGGCGTGCGTGCGGTCTTCTCCATTGCGCCTCGGAGTGGAGAAGATGCGATGGAAAGAACCGCTAGGTTGGGGGCGGCGGCTCCTCTTCTACCGTGATGCAGATTAGTAGGAATATAAACCGTGTATTAGGGAGGGAGAGTAATTAGCGGCCCAGGTTGTTTTTTCGCGGGAGGAGGGCGCGCGCTGTGGAAATTTTCGCGGTTTTGGGAATTTTGAGGGCCAGGTTTCGTAGACGTGATGCGGACTATAATAAAAAGTAATAAATAAAAAACAGTTCCTGATGTGAAATAAATAAAGAGAAAATATAGAAAATTGTAAATAGGTTTTAAAATAGTTTTAATAATTATACTTAGATTTGTAAAAATAATTAACAAATATACTAATCTAATTACATGATTTATTTTTGTATTTGTGTGATTTATTTTGTACTTTTTCTAATACTTGTGTGATTTATTTTTTTACATTCTATAATTTTAAGATAATTACATCATATTTAGAAAAATAATAAAATGGTAGTACATGATTTTGTATTGGAACAATAAACTATTTTTGAATTCACTTAGGCCTTTTTTCTCTTTGTATCATTGTTCGTGGTGGGGCGCCCTCAGCTGCAAGTGTCGTCATGGTGGTCTTCGTCGCTATATTTGAGTTCCACGATGAGAACCTAGCTCACTCCAAGTCTTGGTGCGTCAGTAGCAGCAGCATCCAGGGCTGGGGATGAAGCACCGGTAACAGGGCACCAACATAGTATTGCTGCCGAGTCAACTAGGGGTGTTGCTGTTATATGCTTAGGTGCTTGTCGCCTCGCTCATGTTTCGAGATCCGCTGTGGCAGGGGCCATAGTTGGCATGTTAGGGGTATGACGCCAATGTTGTGAGATCCGATGTTGTTGTTGGGTGCGATTTGGCGGCGGCTTCGCTACGAGGTTGTGCTCGAATGTTGGTGCATCTTTGATGAGAATAAGAGCAACGTTAAAGGACGCGCTCTTGCGCACAAGGATCAAATCACTATGTTTCCATAATTGGTGTCTAGGCTGGGCTCGATTGATGGTATGACGCCCATGTTGTGAGATCTCGAAGGATGCATCAAGTTCACTGCACGATCAGAAACTCGGTGACATATGACAATTAGGTACTAGCTGGACATGATCGGAAACTTGGTGACACATGACGTGGTAGTACATGAGATGAGTCTACATATTAGGTTGTTGGAAATGACAGGGCAAGTAAATGGATGACGGCAACAATAGTAACCATGATAGAAATTGTTTTCAAAATTTTATAAATGTTGTTGGAATGTTGAATTTAAAAAGATAAACATAAATTGTTAAAAAACACGTTGAATTCGAAAAATTAAACAAAAATTGTTTAAAAAAACAAAAATTGTTAAAAAACACATTGATTTTGAAAAGGTAAACAAAAATTGTAGGTGAAAAGTGTAACAACCCGGGTTTTTGGAGAAGCCAAAAACACGAACTTTTTAAAATTTTTCCTGCAATGTGTGAAACATGTAATTGCTAGGTCAAACACGAGTCCAACTCGCTAACAAGACGTTGCATACATGTAGATGGTTTGTAGGTGATTGCCGGAGTTTTCGAGTTGTCCTGTGTTTGAGTCTTGATTATTGTTGGAGAGCACAACCTATAGCAACCCCCTGTGATCCTCGCGAGATTATTTCGAGTCTTCCGATAACATCTCCTTATAACCCCGAACCTCACTAGAACCCGGACTTGCCATTTATATTTGTGCCGACCATTGGACCGGAGTCCCTAAAAACCTAAGACCCCTAGTAGACCACCACGATGAGTAAGCATGTTAATACATGCGGGTACGCACATATAAGACCTAGGAGGTAAACATGTTGGCAACCCATGTATTCCAATGTGAGAAACCCATGGCATAGAGTAGGATAGAAATAAGAAATAGAAAAGGAAAAGAAGACAGAGGAAAAAGAAAAGGGGCATCTGGCCCAAGTAACCGAACCAGCCCAACCCAGCCCACCTGCTTCTAGCCCACGCAGCAACAGCAGCAGCACCGCAACCCAGCTCGCCACTCCTCCTTTTGGCCCAAGACCAGCACTGGACGGCCCAGCTCTCCAACCTGCCGGCCTGCTCGCATCCTCACCCGCACAGCCTGCTTGGCCCAGCACTCCTCGGTGATCGTGGGCCAAGCCTGCCCAACATCCCCGCCAGGCCTGCTCGCACGCACAGCCAGCCAGCCGGCCCAGCTCGCCCACATCAGCCTCTCCCTTCTCTCGCCCTGGGCCGCCGACAGGAGGGACCTGCTCGTCATCCCCTTCCTCCAACCACTCCCCCTCTCCTCTGCTTTTCCAGCGAGCCCACCGTGCAGCTGCTGTTACTGCGGGGATCCCATGCCGCTCCTTCGCCTTTCCGCCGTCCAAGCGTGGGCGGTTAGCAGCGGAGGGACGGATCACCGCCACACACGGTCCAAGCCTCACCTTTCCCAGCTGGCGCCCGACCCATGTTTCCGCCATCATCTTGTTCCCCGCTGAGCCACACCTCGCGCCACGAATCACGGAAGCAACCGCACTGAGCCTGGACGCCCTTCTTGAAGCTTCTCGCGTCGCTCATCTGCCCACAGCCTTGGATGCGCGCCACATCGCGCCGACCATCAAATCAGCGGCATGGACGCCGACGCCCCACTGCGAAGCCCTAGCCTTTGGGCTATAAGAACCCCCGGCCAAGGCCTCGCCCTCACCATTACCCTTCCCAGCCGCCGCAGACGCTCCCTCCCATCTCTGCCTCGCCTTCCTCACCTCGCCGCAGCAGATGCGCAGCCATGGCTTGACGCCGAGCCAGCCTACTCGGCGAGCCGCCTCACCACCGATGCCGCGCCATCCTACCCCCGCCGCCGCTCAGCGCCTTCCAATTCGCCAACGTCCAAGCCAGAAGAGGGGAAAGAGGAAGAAGGAAGGTAGAAGAAGAAGAAGAAGGAAGAGAGGATAAGAAGAAGAAGAGAAGCCGGAGCCTTGCCGGAGTTGCCAAGTCGCCGGAGCTAGGGACGACATCACGATCGTCTTCCTTCCCGTCGCAGCCTGCACGGCACCGCACCAACCCACCACGGCCCCAACGCGCCACTGCACCGCTACCCTACTGCCCCAAGCCCCACGGTAAGCCGCCACGCCGCCCCTGTGCTCGCCAGACCACCATGAGCGTCCTGCATTCTTGCTCTTCGTGCCATAGAACACAGCCTCGCGGCGTAGCGCCGTGCACGCAGCCAGCTGACCACCGCGGCCATGCGCGGCTGCCTCGCGGCCAGACGCCAGCAAGTGCACGCACATCACCGCACGGCCTTGCATGAGCCCTGTGCCCTGCCCCATCCTTGCTGTGGCGCACACGCATGGCAGTGGACTGGACACTGCCTTGTCACCACCGTCCGCCTCGACCTCGGTAAGCACCAGGAGTCCCCAAGTGCCGGCGCCACTCCTCTTCCCCTCGGCTGTCGCCCTGCCCTGCTGCATAGCCGCGGAGGCCCTTGACCGCCTCTGCTCCACCCGACGACCACGGCGCCAAAGCCGAGCCCATCCCCATCGAGCTGCGTCGCCCGTGCCTCGACATCGTGCTCTTCCTCGACGCCGTGGCAAGCTCCTCGCCGAGCCGTTGCCACCTCGCCGTCGCGCTCCGCCTCGTCCCCAAGACACCACGCCTCCAGCCGTGCCTCTACCGCCCCAGCGTTCGCGCGAACGCGGACACACAGGGCCGCTCCGCACGAGCACGCCGCCGCTCAGGACATCGTCGACCCCGAGCCGGTCACCACCAGGCACTGGACTGCACCGCGATGGCACCTGCTCCACGCCGGCGTCGTCGTGCTCCGCCACCCCCGGAGCCGCGGCCAAGAGCTGCTCCTCGCCGTCCTTTTCGCGTCACGCCGAGCCAGAGCCCGGGTGCCCCCGCACCAGCCTCGCCAAGCCCCTCCGCACCGGCCTGGACCAGCCCCTGCGCACCGTTTGGGACGTCCTCGCCCGAGCCCGTCCTCGCCAGCGTCGCGCATCGTCTGCTCCTACGTCAAGGCACTGAGCCGGTGCCACTTTGCCAGGCGGAGCTACGGCCTGACACGCCGTCGTCTTCTCCGTGCCGCAGCTGCCGTTCTTCGTCACGTGCCGAGCTCGCCATCGGCCGCGAGCAGGCAAAGGCCGCGACTTGCCGGCCGTGACCATGCCACTGAGCCACTCCATGCCGTTGGAGTCCCCTCGGCCGTGGCCTACTCCATCTCTGCCCCGTCGACACCCCAACCGTGCGTGGACGACCTCGATGCGCCGGCCCCTGCGACGCATGTGACCTTCGCGCCTCCACTAGCAGCCCACGGACGCCAGCCCTGCTTCCTCTCCATCACCAGCCGGGGGCGCCACACCACCAACACGTGTTCGTCGCCGTGCTCTGCCTCGACTTTGCCGGCGCCACGTCCACGCCGGCAACCAGAGCCGCGAACGCCTTCACCACCACGTTCCGGCGCACAGCAGCAGCACCTCGACGCGCCCCTGTTCCCAGACTGCGACCTCGCTGCATCCTCCGTTGGCGACCAGCAAGGCCATGCTGCCGGTCTCCACCGCCCAGCACCTCCGCCTCGCTGTTCTAGCTCAGCCACGTGACCACCATCGGTGAACCTCGTCGTGACCTTGCACGCGCATAGACAACGACATCGCCAGTCGCCGCTGACTTGGCCTGGCCGGCGTAGCTTTCCCCCCTCCAAAGGCAAGAAGCCCAACTGGACGGCTTGCTAACCGAAAACACCAGCCCAGCACCGGCCCGTGGCCTCCCCTCTGTCTTCTTGCACGTGGGCCGGCCGGCTGCACTAAGCCCAATTCGGCCTCGAGCAAGACACTAGGCCCACTGCGCCTCTGAGCCAGCACAGTAGCAGTCCAATTGGAACAGGCGGCCCTTTTCTTTTTAGGAACCAATCCAGGCTTTGAAAATTCATATTAAATTCAAATGGCATCGGAAAATTGTGAAACCAGTTTAGTAATCTTTCTAAAACCGAACCCTACGAAGTGGACCAACCCTTAA